GCGTCTTCCCTGAGGCCCACCCTCCTGAATCGTCAGCCCCGCCTCCAGCCTCTCTCCCAGCTCCTCAATCAACTGCCTGGGCTCTCGCGGCTCTCCACCACAACGTTGGAGGGAAGATTCAGTCATGGCATCTTCCTTCAGAACCTCATAGCTGACCAGGGTTTCAACCGTCTGGTTATTTTCCATCTTTTCTTCAGGCTGCTCTTCCTCACTCTCTTCCTCATCCTCAGAGTCACTATCACTGCTTGAGTCATCCTCCTCCTCTACTTCTTCTTCATCTGCTTCCTCCTTCGCCGCAAGTTCAGCAGCTTGTTCGAGTATCTCCAGCTCCAGGTCTAGATGGTTCTTCTGCAGTTTGGCATTATGTAAGGATTCAGCCAGCTCAAGCACATGCTTGGACCTGGTGGGGGGAGAGAAAAAAACAAACATTCAATTTAGCTTATTAAATAAAAATATATTTGTGACTGGACTTCTGCATCTAAAAATCTTTTTTTCACAAACCAAGATAACTAGCAGAATATCCCACATTATTAGAAAAAAAAACAATGTGCAAAAATTGCACCTTTAGGGTAACAGTTTGTCTCTGGGGCAGTACCCTTAAAGGGACAACTGTGTATCTTATTTACCACTAAAAGGTTCATAGTAGCACCTTAAGGGAACATAATACTTTTATATTAATATGGGGAAGTCGTGGCCTAATGGTAAGAGAGTCGGACTCGTAACCCAAAGGTTGTGGACTGAAATTTAAGTCCTTTTCTGCAGAAAATCTGGCCCTCCTTAATTCTTAATTCTCAAAACTTATTTGTACCTAATTATATTCAAATAACTTAGAAACTTTGAAAGTTGCATAGGCCACATTTATGATGCTATTTGTCGTTTTTAGAGCTCAATAGCTCACCATTTTCCTTACTTTGCATATTAAAGGAGCAGCATGAACATTCTGTTAAAGATCTACATTACCATTCAAAAGTTTGGGGTCAGTAATATTTTTAAAAATGTTTTGAAAGAAGTATCTTATGCTCATCAAAGCTGCATTTATTTGATAAAAAATTATGTAAAAATAGCATTATTTTGAAATTTTAATATTTGTAAATATATATTTAAAATGTCATTTTTTCCAGTGATGGTAAAATGTTCAGGAGCCACCACTCCAGTCTTCTCATTCTAATATGCTGATTTGATGCTCAAGAAACAATTACTATTATTATTATTATTATTATCAATGTCGAAAACAGTTGTGCTGATTAATATTTTCATTTAAACTGTGATAATGTCAAGTTATTTCATCCTTTCTGAATAAAAGTATAATATTTTTTCCCAAAAATAAATAAAAACTGACCCGGCACTTTTGAATGTAGTGTACCTTAGCATATTATTGAAGAAAGAAAACCACATGTTTAAAATGACCTGAAGGTGAGTAAATGATGACAGAATCTTCATTTCTGGCTGAACAAATCCTTAAATTATTCATTTACAGGCAACATGTTTTTGTGATCCAAAATATTAGGTTTGGCAGTTGAGTGAAATGTGAAATATTTTAGTATTCAGTTCACAATACAGTTGTCTCCATGGCTACAGTAGGAAGAATTCTAGGACTTCAGCGCATGCTTATCGGCTGGTGGAGAACTCAGTTTACAACAGACACTTTACAAGCACATATTTAGAGTGATATAAACATTAACCAGAGAGACTAAACACATATGTACTTAGCCAGTAAATCAACTGAAAAGTAGTAGTCATTGCAGAAAATTAGGTTAACATTTTTTTTACCATAAATAATTACTATATATATATATATATATATATATATATATATATATATATATATGTGTGTGTGTGTGTGTGTGTGTGTGTGTGTGTGTGCTTAATTATATATAGTATTTTTTTATTATGATTACTGCCTACAACCTTGATTACTGCCAATGGGTCATTCACAAAAAGGATAAAGCATGCAAGTCTGAGCCGCCCCATCTCTATTGACGTGCGTCGCCATATTCTCTGTTTCAATTAACCCACCGCTGAGAACCAAGATGCCTCGTTATCACCGTGCAGGCCTAATGATGTCCTGGACCGCCGGCGGACAGGGATTCCTAGCAGGAGAGCAGCGCTACTGTCTCAGGAGGATACTGTGTACACAACGCTTTAGTCACAAGTATGCTTGGCGCCTTCAGAAAGTGCTTATCTGAGATAAAGAGGCAGTCTCTGCTATATCGAGGAAAATTCATGGTTAAATGGAGATGCGAAACCGGTTGGACACTTTTCAGAGACTTTACAAGATAAATGACTCATATAATACACAAACAGGCCTTGAAGGCGCTATAAATTATTTTTATTTTTTAAGAATACCAGGCATGAAAAGTCCCTATACAATACCATAGATGTCACTGATAAAGTTGTCTTGAGAAATGTAAACAGAAAAATATAAGTTCTGTAAACAGGGGAGCGGCCTGCACTATCCTAGACCCACACTATGATTTACAAGTTTTTTTTTCAAAGTTTTTTCTTTGGAAAATAATGTATACTTTTATTCAGCAAGATTAAACTGATCAAAAGTGACAGTAAAGACATTTCTATTTCAAATACATGCTGTTCTTTTTAACTTTGTATTCATCAAAGAATCCTGAACAATCCTCTGTCACGGTTTTCACAAAAATATTAAGCAGCACAACTGTTTTCAACATTGATAATAAGAAATGTTTCTTGAACAGCAAAACAGCATATTAAAATGATGTCTGGATCATGTCTCACTGAAGACTAGTAATGACTGATTTTCTCTACATTAACAAAATTCTACTCAGAAACTGAATCAGAATTATAGATGGAATAAAATAGAATTTACAAAGAATGGAATAAGATGTAGGGTAGTATTAAGTAAATAAAAGTGGTATTGCACATTTTTTTATTGAACAGTAGGGGAGAATATTTAACTGTTCATGAGGTAGATTGCCTGGGGAAGAAACTTTTCTTGTGCCTGGCAGTCCTGGTGTTCGGTGCTCTGTAGCACAGGTCAGACAATAAAAGTTCAAAAAGGATTGGATGTGAGGGATCCAGAGTGATTTTCTGAGCCCTTTTTCTCACTCCGGATATATACAGTTTTTGAAGGGTGGGCAGGGGAGCACCAATAATCCTTTCAGCAGTTCGAAAAGTCCTCTGTAGTCTTCTAATGTCTGATTTTGAAGCTGAGCCAAACCAGACAGTTATTGAAGTGCACAGGACAGACACAATGATGGCTGAGTAGAACTGTGTGAGCAGCTCCTGTGGCAGGATGAACTTCCTCAGCTGGTGAAGGAAGTACAATCTCTGTTGGGCCTTTTTAACAATGGAGTCAATGTGATTCAGCTCCAGGCTGTTAAGACTGCACCAGAGAGCCAGCTGCTCTACCTCGCTTCTGGATGAGGCCGATGACTGTTGTGTTGTCTGCAAACTTCAGGAGCTTGACAGAGGGGTCAGTAGAAGTGCAGTCATTGGTGTAGAAGGAGAAGAGCAGTGGGGAGAGAACACATCCCTGGGGGGCACCAGTGCTGATGGTGCGGCTGTTCGAAATTAATTTCCCCAGTCTCACTAGCTGTTGCCTATCTGTCAGAAAGCTGGTGATCCATTGACAGATAGAGCTAGAAACAGAGTGCTGGGTTAGTTTGGTCTGGAGGAGTGCTGGGATGATTGTATTGATAGTCGAACTGAAGTCCACAAACAGGATCCTCGCATAAGTCCCTGGATTGTCTACATGTTGTAGGATATAATGCAGTCCCATGTTGACTGCATCATCCGTGGACCTGTTTGCTCGGTAAGCAAACTGCAGGGGCTCCAGTAAGGGTCCAGTGACGTCCTTCATAGGGTTGGGCGATGTCTACCAAATTGGCATCGGACGATGTCTACAGTGAAACATCGTGATGGACGATGACATCAGGTGGCGGGGCGGCGGGTAATGTGTTATACAGAGCCGCTGAAAGGTTAGCCGCTTGTTAGCGGTAGCCTGTTGCATTACAATACATGAAAGTTCACTTACCACATACACCGAGTAAGGAGAAATGTCTGATATGATAATGGAAAATGATTTGCAGATCCTGAGCACCAATGACAAACATCTAATCTTGTCAAATGTGTGGTAAGTACTGCCGCTCCATAGTATAGAGTCCTTGTGATCGCGAATCTCAAAAGTGAAAGTGAAAGTAAAATGAGAGTGCGCAATCAAAAGCGGTTTCAATAGCGGCTCCCTGATGCCTGCAATTTATATACAGTGTCCTATACTTACCTAATGATATAATTGCAAGAAAAAGTATAGAATTTTTTTTTTATCCTCCCATCTCGTAGGCTATTTATTCCCTTTAGGGTTTTTCCATAGTACACTTAATTTCCTTTCCGAACACGGAACTGGGATGCGGCGGATTGCGGGAGAGGGGGTGGTGGTGGGGGGGAATCACGATGTCAACTTAACATCGGGATGTCTGTCATCGTCTATCGGCCCAACCCTAGTCCTTCAGATAACACCAGTCTCTCAAACGATTTCATGACCATAGATATTAGGGCAACATGTCTGTAGTCATTAAAGGGTTAGTTCACCCAAAAATGAAAATTAGCCTGTGTTTTACTCACCCTCAAAGGATCCTAGGTGTATGTGACTTTCTTCTTTCAGACGAATCCAATCGGAGTTATATTAAAAATTGTCCTGGCCTCTCCAAGTCTTTCAGTGGGGGTAAGCGTGTGTTGGTTGACATATTTCAAACGTAATAAACACTTTTTTCTCATGTCCGCTGACTGTCATACACGGAAGCCGTTCCGGTGGATGACGTAAGACTTGTTTTAAGTTAATATTAAAGTATTTATATATTGGCTAGACCAAAACACAATCAATGCTCTGTTAGAATACATTTCAAATAACTTAGTTTGTGTGTTTTATTCATGTTCAGTTGAACCAAAAAAAAAAAACATTAAATAAAATAAAAATACAAAAACTACTTCTTATTACCAACACATGCAACAACATCTGCAAACACAGATATCGGACAGCTACAGGTCACTATAGTGTCTCCAGAAGTCCATAACTATAATTTTATCAAATATCAGATAGCAAATAAAAGGCACACATTTTTAGTGTTATTCTGGCCTGAACCCTGGGGTAATTTCTGACCCTGGCCAAAGAAAGTTCTCTGAAAAGCACCATGTGGTCTCCGAAGAAGAAAGAAGGTCCATAAAACTATTAGGCACTTCCTGGAGTAATGTGATTGGTGGAAGTACCGCAGCAGTGGCGGCGGCGCTTCAAACATTTGCCATATTCGTTTTCTCCCCGTGGGAGGTCATTATTGAGTTAGCATTGTAGAGATTCGCTTGTTTTCTCTGCATCTAACTCTCTCTCTCCTCCTTCACTTCTGCGGTGAGAAAATGCATGCTTGCGGTGGAAACAAATGCCCCTTTTGGGGCGAAGGATAATGTTGTACACAATTCAGTCATTATGATGGCACTATTGTGGTTCGCCTTAATTAACCGAGAAGAGGCGGCTTTCAAGGTTGACAGAGGGGGGAAATAAAAACAAGCTTGCCACAACAAAGACACACTAGAGGCAGCTTGAGAAAATAGTGGAGACCTTTATATCTAAAGAGATGGGGTGAACCTGAATTACTTGTCTACTTCAAACAAAGCTCTCGGGCTGTGTCTACATTAAGCTCTTAAGATATTCAAATCAAAGACACACAAGGATGAAATGTACCTCTGACTTTTCAACAAGATAATTAGTCTTTAATATCATTTAAAATGTCATGTTAAAAGTCATTGAAACTAAATAAATTATTCATTTTACAGCTGAACTGTGAATTGGACACATTTCAGTCAAATCCTTACTACATTTTCATTTTTTAATTCAAAGTGATTTATGGTGAATTCTAGGTATACATTTGACAAAACTGTGCCATTGTTTCATTCAGCTTTTCTCATATTACAAGAACAGAGGATTTGGGGGAAACTGGAAGGTTAGAGAGCACCGTCACAGCTCAGACTGACTGTACAAGTTGAAGTCTTCAAATGCTGCTAAACCACACGCTGAGAGGGAATATGATCCACTTATCTGTATGAGCTCTAAGACCAGGATCACTTTCCTCACACCAGCGGGACACTTCAATCCTCCCTCCCGCTCTCTCTCTCTTTCTGTCTCCCTCTCTCCATATCTCAAGCGCTCACACAAGACTATGTGACTATGTCTACAGAGAAAAGATAGTGTAAATGTTCAGAACTTTTCCGTCATAGAACTCATATCATAAACAATGTAAGCCTCTTGTTTAAGTGTTTCAGCAAAAATCAATAAATTATACATTAAAGCTGTAGGCCTACTTCTACTCACAAAATTTTACAACTACTGAAATGAAAATCAGTTGCCTAAAAATATACATAATGTTGCGATCACATGACCACCAAAACACTACTTAATTGGTAATCATGATATTGAAATATTAATACCTTTCTACATAATTATCGAACCAGTCGATAAATGCAACCTGGTGGGTTTCTAAACAGAATATCAACTGTGGCATTATACTAATGTGCATTCACCAGGAAAGAATGTTATTCCCAGACAGGTAAATTAATATTTTATGTGCTGTGATAATTCACAATTTTACATAACAGCCATGTATGCTTACAATGTATTGCTTGACATAATATTTTAAGCTTAAATAAGTTTAAAAAATAAATGTAACAATAATAATAATAATAATAATAATAATAATAATTATTATTATTATTATGGTAACTAAAAACTTGTGCGTGACACCAAGTCCCAAAATTGTCAGTCCAGTCCAACAATATTAATTCCTTTCCATAATCAACATGCAGTCTTTACACATTTTTCCCAAACAACACCAAAGCTGACTATCAGAAGCGAAACTCTCAAATCGGATGGCAAACTAATTAAATGTCAGAGAACAAAACCAAAAAGGTCACGGTCAAACTCAAAGCCATCCAAACTGAAGTGACAGCAATCCTTAATAATCTAAACAGAGCTATTAACACACACACACACACACACACACACACACACACACACACACACACACACACACACACACCAATATAGATATTTTAAGCCCAATTTCCCTCAATGCTAGAGAGGGATTTCAC